CAGTAGTGTTGCAACTTAAAAATGTATACTGCACAAACATAAATACACAAAATCAATAACAAATATACCTTCTTTCTGGTAAATGTTGAATTTAACTATAATATCATAGGACGTGCTTGTCTTTAAAAAAACACTTGCTTTCTAAAAAAATCTGAGTTTTTCAGCTGTAATGGCAGTTTTATTTTTACTCTGAGGTTTTGGATTCTATATTATATTTCACTACTGTGAGGTTTTTTGTTTTGTGTTTTTATTTCACTATTTTGAGGTTTATGTTCTCTATTTTAATTCACTACTGTGAGGTTTTTGTTTTTATTTCACAATTTTGAGGTTTATGTTCTATATTTTATTTCACTACTGTGTGGTTTTTGTTTTGTGTTTTTATTTCAGTACTATCACGGTTTTGTAATTCATATTTTTAGCTATTTTGTTTATTGCAGTCGGTGTCTTTCCAGTCGTCAGCAGCGAGCACCGGTAGTCAGGACTCTTCATCTCAAGTGGTGTCTTGTAGTGGGACCAATGAAGTGAGGAACATATCAGAAAGCGTTGTTTCTCCAGGAACACTTGGAGGAAAGTCAGCCAATCAGCAGAGCTTTCTTGGTGGATTGTTTGGGAAGAAAAGCAAGACATCATTGAAAGGAAGTGTAGTGAAAACCAGTGAGAGCACTGATGTTTGAAAGATGTTTGTATTAATTATTAATCAGTTAAGTTATATCAGTGAGTTCGACCATTAGTAAAATGTTGTCACGTAATCTACTGTCCATTAGTAACAGATAAAAATATGATACTACTGAGTACAAGAAAGACGTCTGTGAACAGAATGTGGAAAGAGCCAGAAATACAGTGATTCATGTGAATTACATGCTTGCCCCAAAGTGGAATTTAGCCTAATAGACTTTTGAGTGAAACAATTAAAATAAGTTTAGAAAATCTTTAATTTTTGCTAAAACTTGTGATGGCAGGCTCATGCATTTACTTTGTATCTGTTTGATAAATAATCCTAGCTTAGGGGTTTTCTTGTAGAAATTATAATTCTATGCCAAAGATATTAGAAATATGTGTTGCTGTATAGAACTACAAGGGTAACATAAAAGTGTGTACTATAACCAGAGGTAGATAACGATCAACATGTAAATTAGTACATTACAAATGTTTGTAAATCCTGAATTGGGACTGTGTAAATAACATTAAGAAATGAATAATTCTAGCAGTGACAGAAACCTAGTGTATAGTTCCAATGATGTAAATATGTTGTGAGTTTCAGGTGTTAAATGTGTTAATTAATATATTATAATCTGTTCACTTGATTATTAGAATAATTACTAAAATATAGTACTTAAGTGTGTCATCAAATTCAACAGTATATAGTTATGTATGTAAAATAAGATAAATATATATTCTAACCCTAATCCACTGCTGTGTCCTCGAAGAGAGAATAATTCTGTGATTTCAACGCAATATGTGTTATAAAATATGTCGTATACAATGAAATTTTTTAGTGTTAGGGTATTATACCACCTTTTCTGATTGTGAAATAAACTTTGTTACACGACAGACCTAGACTATCGTACATTCGGTTCTGCCTATTGTTTTATCAGTGTATATGGGCTGCTATAGCAACAGTATTAAACTCGAGGGTGGATGCCGTCCATCCAGTATTTTTGAGGAAATATCAATTTTTGTACTCGAATCTGCATTTTTATTTGTAATGAATAGCAGTTTTGAAACGTTTGAATTTTATTGTTTTATGCCTTTATTTGGTAACCCTATACAGTCTAGTTACTAGGAGTCTAACCCTACAAATAGGCCTAACAGTCATGCAGCCATAGCAATAGCGTGGAAACTAGATTTGGCTGTAGTGTGAACTTATTTTTAGCTTCAGTGAACTAAAAAAAAAAGAAAAAATTGTGTTTGAAACATCGATATCTTTAAGTGAAATGATGTTTTAAATTAATTACTTTCTCGTGTGTGAGACACCAAGTAGGTATTTTCTAAAGATTACAATCTTACTATCCATTGTAGATTATCTAAAGCATGATATCATGAGTTTTATTTTTTGTAATCGTAAAGACTTGAAGCGTGGTTCTCTAAGTGATAGACAATACTGAGAAAAAGTTTTTAGTTACAGCACCAAAATTCAAAAAAGTATGTTGATGCCAAGAAAATAATAACAAAACTTTCTGTGAGAATGAATAAAGCAGTACTTGTACCCCCCTCTCTCCCCCCGTTTTACTCCAAAAGAATTCTTCTTAAGATGATAGAGAAGAAATATTTTTCTTTTCCGGGGTTGGATTAAGACCGCAGGTAACATCATTTCTGTGAACTCCCCCCCTCCCTTTTCCATAAGCTCCCTTTTTTAATTTTATATTGAACTTTTCCCCACCAAATAATGTTAAACCCTAAACTAAGTACAAGCTGTTCTACCAGAGCTTCCTGTATAAAGAAAAGAGAAGTGATTCGTCCAACTCGTAATGTCAATGTGTGATTTGTAAGCTGACTATTATATTTATGTATGTATAATAAACATGCTATTCCAGCATTTGTTTGGTTTTTGTTTTTCTCTGGTTAAGTGGACTTAAAACCTGTGACCTTGTTGATTGAAACATTATTTAACACAACCACAGTAAATATTATAGTATTAGGTCGTCAAGAAATTAATATCGCTTTTTTTAGATGAAAAAAACCCGAACAACTTCTATATCAAAACAAAACATTTATTAAATGAAATAGTCTCCATCCTTATCGATGATGTTTTCCATCTTACAATGAGGTTGTTAATGCTCTGATTAAAGAAATCACTTGGCTTTGAAGC